GCGATTATGAAATCTTGGATCCGTCCTGAAATACACACACACACACACACACCTTGAGAGCTCCGCTAGGGTTTACTGTCTATACCACAACACAATCGCGGCACCTGAAAGCACAACTCGCGAAAGCAGAAAAAGGAAGGCATCCGTCGAATTCGTGCGAAGCGCGCCACTAAGAACCCTTTACGTGAACCAGCACCTCAAACCCCTCCAACAACAGACTCTAAAATGCACACCCTAAATGCGTGCCTGTATCTTGTGGAGCTCCGGACGGGTCAAGCTGATTTCCGACAGGAGCCCCTGGCAGACTTTAGGTCTATAGGTTGCTCAGTACGAGACACCTATATGCACCTATCGAACACATCCGGGAATCAGCACCACATGCATCCCAACCACAAAACCTCGAAAAGATTCAAGTTGGTCCCTACAAGAGCGTGCTGTGCCTCGAATGCTGCGTAAAGCTTGGAGAGCTCTGCAACCTCAGGGTCAAGGGTTGGAGTTTGGGGGTTTGGCTTGGAGTGTCGCCGAAGACCGCAAAGTTGGGACGACATGTAAGGGTTTCGGGGTCTACAAAGCCTCGTCACTGCAACGCACTCAGGTCATGGCCCGTTCTGCGTAAGTTGCGTGCTTCAGCGCGGCCTCCGCATGGATGTGGCGGGCGTCTGGTTTTCTACGGAGGGCCGTAGACATTCTGACTTTCTGGGGATCTGGGCCCAAGATCCAAGTGCCATGTGTACTTTAGTCCTTGAGTAAGTTGTGGCGCGGCTTCACTCCGCTGAAAAGTGGGCGTGATGCATCTCGTCCGCTGCTGCCCGGAACAACCAAAGTCCAACCTCCGCCAGAGTTGCCAGGCACCTTGACGCGGGCTTTCGGGTGCTTGCATCGAGGCTTCTCTAAGGCCTACTTGGACCATCACAGTTTGTAGAATCATCGCCTGTTCTAGGTGTTGGGTCATTTTGTTACCTACTTTTGGGGGGTTTAGGGAGGCTTAAAGGGTGGCTCTCAAACAGCCTGGGAATTATGGTGAAGTGCACGCAGGCTGGTTTCAATCTAGCCGAGAGGTAATGCTATATAGGCCGACATCGGTCACTCAACGCTAAATGTCCAGACTGCCACGTTTTGACGAACACCTAGCCTTGTGGAGAGCATGTGCACTTGCTGAATTATACGAGTCTACGGTCCTGAACCCTGCCCGCTGCCTCACGAAGTGCGAAGCTGTGAAACTCTCGACCTGCACCCCTTGCGGAAGAGGTTCTCGCACGAAGCACCTGCAAGTTCTGCAAGCCGGGGACGAACAAGTTGTCTCTAGCTTCGCACCGTACCCGTAAGCACGGATCTCTGCACCATGTGCGGGAGCTGAAGAAGCTCCCGAACCTTCAGCCCCGGCGCCGGAAACCCGAACCCTGGCAGGAGAGCAGGAGAGGAAGGCCTTCCGATGGCCGTGCTTAGCGTCTGAGAGGAGATCAGGGCAGATGCTGCCTGACGAGACTGGTTGAGGCAAAGGGCAAAGAGCCCCAGACCATGTTGACAACTCTTAGAAGGATTTAAAAGGTAATCTAAAACATAATAATGTACCATACCATGATACAATATGCTTCTGTCACAACTGCTCACCGGTCTGGTTCATGTGTCATGCGGCTTAACATGCGGAATTCGCGGAAACTTCGTGTCGTAACATGAGGTGGTTCCACAAGAAACCAGCCCATTAACAAACTTCCACTGTGCTTCCTACTGTGCGAGTAGGTTCTTCTTCGCGACCCTGCCATCCCCACTAAGTGAGTCAAGCTCACGAAACATACTAGGCTACACAAGTTGCTGCACGATGAATTATGAATTCCGCTCTTGGACAAGGTAGCCCCGACATCCGATCTTCCTTGACACACCGCACCCGGCCACACCCCCTCTCTAAATCCACAATCTCTAAATGCAGAGTGCGAAACCCTATATGCCCAACCCTCGAAAAACTCAACTCCGACGTCCTGGAAGTACTGGCACCTGTTCCGCCGGCGCGGCCACGCCACCAGGCCGTCGCAAAGCCGCCCTGAGGGAGCACTCCATGTCTATTTGAGGTTGTTGGTTGCTGTCAAGGTTGTATTTGGCCCTTTCTCGGCGGCACTGGCCGGATCGTAGGCCCATTTTGATTGGCTCTGGAGTGACCTGATGTTTCTGTAGGTCCGTAAAATTAAGCTGCTCCAGGTGGTATTCTAGGCCTGATTCTAGGCTGGAGTTGAGGTTGTTTCAAAAGGTGGGTCGAAGCCAGTGTTTTTTTCCGTTTCACGCCTCCTTAACTGTTGTGTGCTATTGCAGGGTCTCTTGAGCCAGCTTTGCAGCTACTTCTGAGTTTGTCCGTGGTGTTTGAGGGGTAGCTGGGTTGGGTGGGGAAGCTTCCTTCTTTGCAGTGTGCGTTGCTTGGAAATTTTCTCGTATCCTGCACTCTTCCCTTGTTTGGTGAGGTCTCATCGATCATGAAGTGGTGCTCTTCTGGATCATCGTGGGATCGCATCCAGTGAAGCACGTGACCTTGTTGCTGCCACGTGCTTGTTGTGCGCAGCTTGTCTTGTTGACGCTCCCACTCGGAGAAGCCAGGCAGGGATTGAAGGCTTTATCACCAAGGTCGGTTTAAGTTCAGCTGGCGCGATACTACCAGTAAATCGAAGGGGGGGCACAGGCATTTACTTCCTCGCCCTGCCACGAAGTGAAGAAAACAGGTCAGGGCGGTCCTGGCAAAGCACCAGTTTTCGCTAACCCCCCAGGTACCGACTATATAGGGTACTAGAGCCCCTATCCCTAAACCCTAAACCCTAGGGCCCTATATAGTAGGTACCTGGGCGGTTAGGGTTTGATTCAGTCTTGCTCCCGGTAGGTAGGGTCGGCACGAGGCAGCGACGTAGCGAGCACCGCCTTTTGCTCCGTCCTCCTGAGGCACCAAATTTTGCACGTGATATGGGGCTTAGGGTTTAGGGTTCAAGTTTTTGGGGTTCATAAGGGCTTAATGAATGGGATTGTGGTCTTATGTGGTAAATTCAAAAAACCTCTCTGTTTCAAGTGCAGATATACTGCTCTACCATGAATCCGAGCAAAGCAGGCGGCAGCCTCCAATGGTTGAAAAGACACGATTACGAACGGTGCTTTGCCTAACCGCCCAGGTACCTACTAAAGAGGGCCCTAGGAGCTCTAGTACCCTATATAGTAGGTACCTGGGGGGTTAGGGTTTGCTAGCTTGAGCACCAAGGGCTCCCCCCAAGTACAGGGATAGCTCCTCGACGAGCAGGCACGGCACATCGGCGCTCAGTAACTCGGCGATGAACCTACCAGACGGCTGAAGGGCCGTTAGATCCAAACTATGCTCTGGTGCGTTCCGGCCCGGTTCGACCGTTCAGGAGAAGTTTGGCGGGTCTCTTGGATTCACTCGTCGACAAGCCAGCACGGGAACATTCCTTCTTGGTTTGGCTCCGAGCCCCCGAAACAAAAGAACAATAGGCGTGCAAAATAACCCCTCCGACTTCCACCACAGGCCTCTCGCGCACCCGACGCCAGAAGCCTTGCGTAAGGCTATAGGCAGGCTATTAGCATTTCGGGGCGATATGGGGCCTAGAAGGTTACTATAGTGGAAAACTACATGTAACACACACACACACACATATATATATATATATGGCAACAGGGCCTCCTGTGATCCACTAGGCTTTCGTTCAATATATATATATATATATATATATAGATATATCATATGTATGTTGTATATATACATTTGCATTTATTCATGTATCTTCATGTGTGTAGATGTTATAGACATACATCGGGGGTTCAAGGTACTGCTTCAGTAAATGGTTCTGCCCCTCAGCGCTCTCTCCACAGGCAAGGTTTGACCACAATAGAGTCCCTGCCAATGCTTGGGCTGCTTGGGTACGTATTTATGATAAGCATTTATGATAAGAGCGACGTATTATTTTCAGGATCCGAAGCGGGCGGGTGCAAGAGCAGGCCTTGATGAGGGGCCGGAGTCCTCTATAAAGTGATTCCGTGGAAATACGAAGGATACCCCGTTGAGGGGACCCCCTATTCTCATCAGGATCCTACAGGTTTATTGAGACTCCTATAGCATCTGCGGCCCCCGCGTGACAAAGGCGCACGATCCCCCAGGTAGTCGACCGGAGAAGCCGGAAGCCTTGGCCGCCAAACTTCTAGTTCTTGGCTCCAAGGGTTACTACGATATCGAAGGGGTGCATCTACACATACATACACATACACTTTGTGTATAAAGGTATGTAGGCATGGGCTCATTATCGTATGGATGTGTTTACATGGAGGATCTACGGTTTAAATCTTGTACGCGGTGTCTTGGGACTCGGCCGGAGTACTTCCCTAGGTACTCTTAGCGGCTCTGAGAACCCGTAAGGCGTGGACTCTCATAGTCTGCCGCTTCTCTGTCTTCTTTTTTGGAAATGCGGTTTCAGAAATTCGGAGTACCCGTCTGAGGGTCATACCGGGAGGGGGTCAAAACTCATGACTGTTTCGAGCTTAGGGTTCACAGACAACGGCACGGCCGGATCTGGGAGGCAACTGCAGCAAGAAACAAGTCTGACTGATACCATTCGAGCACAAGCTTGCTCGCGGATAGGGCGCTTGTCATCGAAGTTGATTTCGTACAGGGTACTGAAGCTCGGATAAAGACTCATTCCTGCTGAGTAGCGGGCAATCGAGAACCCAGTTCTCGCGCAACCTCTGCGAAGGCCTTTGGGCGTTGGTTCCAACAGCGCCGACAATCTGAGATTGACCTATAATCTGGCGGCAGCAGTGATCGCAGAAGTACATTTGGGTTCAAACAGCTCTATACCCTCGCTCCGAAAACGTACACCCTAAACCGGACTGAACAATTGCTGGATGACAACTTGAGACCACACGACATATAACTACGCGGCCCCAACCATAGCTAGAATGCTAGAACAGGGATTTAGGAGATACTACGAGACTACGAGACTCTACGAAATGTTCGAGTGCGCCTTGGCGGTTTCCAAGGCTAGCTGCTCGTTGTGTGCATTTTCGTGGACGCCATCCCGCGATGCCTGGGATTCAGTACTGTGCAGAAACACTTGAGGCTTGAGGGTTCTGACTGCCATATATATATATATAGAGAGAGAGAGATAAATATATATATATATATATATATATATACATGCATGCTCTCGGGTCCCGGGCCACCACCCCCCCCACCCCTGGTATCCCCCCCCATGGTAACCTCCCCCTCGCCCGTGAACGACCCCTCCGCCACCGGTTGGCGTGTCGCCTGCTGCGGATTGGAGGTGTCGCCCCACCCGTGCCCCCACCCCCTATGGTACCCAACCCTTGCTCCGTGCAGAAAGCAGCAATCTGCGCATCAGACAGGAATTACAATGCTTAGGTGCTGGTGGCAGCCGTTCTTTTGATGGTA